CTTGAATGAATACATTAAATGTATTTGCGAAACAAAAACATGAGTTTTAAGTAAAGGAACATATTCTCGCCCATGGGCCTACCCATGGGCCAAACCTTTTTCTTGCCCTGGGCGAAATATTTCAATATCGCTATAAAATCGTTGAATTAAGTTTAAATGAGTTAAATTTTGTGTCATGATACTTCAATAAATACATTTAATGTATTTGCGAAACAAAATCATGAGTTTTAAGTAAAGGAACATATTCTCGCCCATGGGCCTGCCCATGGGCCAAACCTTTTTCTCGCCCATGGGCGAAATATTTAAATATCGCTATAAAATCGTTGAATTAAGTTAAAATGAGTTAAATTTTGTGTCATGATACTTGAATGAATACATTAAATGTATTTGCGAAACAAAAACATGAGTTTTAAGTAGAGGAACATATTCTCGCCCATGGGCCTGCCCATGGGCCTACCCATGGGCCAGACTTCGCCCATGGGCAGGCCCATGGGCGACATAGTCTAAATATTGAGTTTTTAAACAATTTTTTTTAAATTTTTTCTTCCTTGGTATGTTCCCATGAAAACGGCATGTTTAATTTTGTAAATACCTTTAACCGAGACTGGGCAAAGAGTGTAGAGTTTCTGGACTTTTGGGTTTCCAGAATTAAAATGGGACATGTTAAGAGTACTCGGAACGCCGTCAAGTGATGGTGGCTGATGCGCTGGGGTCATTTAAACCATTAGCCCCCGTGCACTGACGACACACAACAATAACTTTCTCTGATACTGGTTGTAAATGCCATGGCTAGTTGGCTAAAGCAGAGGCTGGCTGGACAGAGTGTTAATTAATTATTCTTGAGTTAATATTAATTACCTTTTACATATTTAATAAAGGTTCTGCATTTTGAAGGATATAAAACCCCCAGGGAGATATCCCAATTCTCCTTAATGTGCGCCATTATAAGCAATCTATTGAAAGAACCCCATGATGTATTTTTACCACAGATAAAAAACTCGGAGTGACTCTGTGGTCACGTGGTTCAGTTCGATTTATTTTATAAATATAACAAGTTCTTACTATGAAGTTCAAAGCTGCGCATGGAAAGACGGAGATGTAGTTACTGCTAGCAGTGTTCCAAGACAAACATATTACACACGACCCCTATATATCAAGGACTTGAGGCGTAATCGCCAATATAGTTCAGTGATAACAGCTGTCTTCACGTGGACAAGGGGCCATGACACTGATGCGCCAGTTTTGTCCAATCATAGTGAGGTGTATATGATCACCTCACGTTAAGGCATGCGTCTGATAATACAACACGATAACTATGTCTGCATGCACGTTAATTTCGCATAAGAAATAATCTAGTTCATAGGGTACTTTTTTGTTGAATGTATGCTATACATTTAAAATGTGTATTCATGTCATGTAATTATAAGGTGGATCTAAATGCAAAAGAGGAATTAGACGTTAAACCAAGGGCTCCCCATATTATTATTCATCTTGAATCAACCTTCCTTCACTGAATGTGACAAAAGTGTTCAGCACTCTCAAACTAGGATTATAGGATTGATTATCCTTCAAAACGTAATACCAGGCCATGGTATATCTGTTTTATTGTTTAACGTTACATTCGAGAAAATTACACCTACATGATGGTAAAAAAATAATGTAAATAATCAAATCTGTACCAGGACATTCAGTGGTTGACATCATTAGCATCGATCTATGCAATTGGGATGTGATGATATTAATCAACCAAGTCAACCAAAAGATCCTGTAAGGCGCCTTATGCTACAGAGCACGAATGATCACGGGGGAGATCATAATAAGGCTGATCATGTGCGAGCGACTTGCAAAAGTATAAAAGTTATGTCAAGAACAGATTATTTTGACACTAGTAATAGATGGGTAACCTATTGATATACGAATGATCTTTATCAAGATTTCGAACGAATGAGTAGCAGAGCCTGAACATCAATTGTGATAATGTGTGATACAAGCAACTTAAACATGATTTTCTTGATATAAATGTGTTGCAGATAACTATAAAGTATACAACTGCACAGGCTGATGAGCAGAGAAACATCTTTTAATACGAGAAAACATTGACTCGCTATTAGATCACCTGGAAGGTCTGCAGATGTATCGAAGTAAAATATGAGATACGTACAAAAGAGTTCAACGTACACAAAATCAATCGATATTGAATCCAAACTGAAGTACAAAAGAAACGTTACACCTATTTCGCAGCAAAAATCAAATTAAAACCATGCTGAGTTTCAGCATTAAAGAAATATTCTGAGCAAACATGACATTAACGTGTCGCAAAAAATAACCCGATCCCCGTGTACTTCGATTTTGGTGATAGTCATGAAAAAAGGCATGTATAGCCGTTTACATGTGTCGTTTGTGCTATAAAAACTGATAGATCGAGGTTAATAGTATTATTGTAGTGAAAGAACACCAAATAATGCCGAAATTAATTGCAGCGCAACGAGGGTGAGCCATTGGTATGTCACAGTTGTGGGCAACAAACAGTCCCGTCGCTCAAACCTTCAAACCACAGCAGCATCACATCAATCGACAACGTTGCTATAAAAACTGATAGATCGAGGTTAATAGTATTATTGTAGTGAAGGGACACCAAAAAAAATGCCGAAATTAATTGCAGCGCAACGAGTGTGAGCCATTGGTATGTCACAGTTGTGGGCAACAAACAGTTCCGTCGCTCAAACCACAGCAGCATCACATCAATCGACAACGTCGATCGAGAACTGTGCAACTTCGGCACCGACGTGGCTGGGTTCGGCTTATGTTTGGTGATGAGAGTAGATGAAAATTGTTTAATGCCGATGGTAGAGTCAGGGTAGATGGAAGGAAGGATGAACGGCAAGCCCAAGCATGTGTCCAGGAACTTCATCCGTTTGGAGGCGGTGGCATAATGGTATAGGGAGGCATGTGTGGCCAGCAAGAGACTCTGTTATTCAACATTCAATGTTATTTGAATGCCAGCATTCAGGGGTGCATTTCTTCTTTTTGTTTACTAGGATGGGTGGTAGCGGGAATATTCGTGCATTCAAACACTTTGTCTTTACCCAATGTATGCCAAAATGCAGGGTTCAAGATCTAAGTTATTAGAGACAGCAATGTTTTCGTGCTTGGGAAATACCAGGCTTTTGATGAAATACATCTCACCCCAGAAATGTGAAGGATAGACGCATTCAACAAAGGAATGCTGCTTAAATGTTGAAAACCAAGAATGTCAAAACCATCTGAACCATTAGTATTGTTGATAATTATTATCTACCTTAATGCATAAACTCTCCACTTTTGATTTAATGCAGTATTCATGATAACATTGGGAATGTGTCGTCTTAACCGTGAAGCACGCCAAAAGGCTACTGGCATGCTTCAAAACTATTAGAGCTCAGCGAGAGGTAGCCAATATGTTTGTTATTTGTAGACACACGATGCTAGTGATCGGCCCAGAACAGGGCACCCGGTTCGACTAATTAATAAAACACCAAGTTTTAAGAAATCGAACTCAACAGCCAAAATCAAATTAATGTTTACTTGCGCCAGGCCACCAGCTTACAAGCTTCTGACCAGACGAATCATTTCCACACTTGGCTACCACGCGTTGTACCAGCTTTATACGCCACATTCTGGCTAGACCCAATGGTATTTAGATCGTAGAAACTGGGGAACCTCCGATGGTCCCATGAAATTATTTTAGATGAGTCAAGATTCACTTTCGACTTTCTGGATAGGCGTGGACGTGTCTTGGGGCGTCCAAATGCCAGAACTGTGCTGCATATTGTGCATTGAAGGTTCACAGGACAATAATACCGGGACAACCGGAAGCCAATGGGTGTGCTCTTTTGAGCTCCATGCTGGTCCACGTTTTTCTCTTCAAGTCGATAACACTCACCGTACACCTATCGTAACTGTCTAACCCCAGCAGCTAAACGTCACCAGAATGCAATAAGCAGCAATGAGTCTTGACCTTTTCCCGGTTAGCGAACGTTTAGGACATGATCGGGAGACGTCAAAGACCACCCACTACGATAGTTGTACTGTTCAAGGCGATGCAAGGAGAGTGGAGCAGGAAGACTCCCTGAAAGTGTCATTAGGAAATTGACTCAGACCATAACACGGCGTCTGTAGGAATGGTTGACCAATCTTGTCGGCTTGATCAATTATTGATCAAGTCATCTCAAACGTACATTGGGCGGTCGGGTAGCCTAAGTTAAAGGGTTCGCTCGTCACGCCGAAGAACCGGGTTCGATTCCCGACATGGGTACATTGTGTGACGACCATTGTTGGTGTCCCCCGCCGTGATATTGCTGGAATATTGCTAAAAGCGGCGTAAAAACATACTCACTCAATCACTCACTCACTCAAACGTACATTTGTTGTCGTCTTTCTTGATTGTTTTCACCGTTACAATATGCACCCCCGTCACCCCTATCAACATGTTCTGCTGGGTGTCACGGTATGCCTTCCGATACCCATTGCCATCCATCGGTGCCTCTTTGTATTTCTTAAATCATTTTTTATTGACGAATGTACCCTGCTTTTTACAATATACAAAGAGTATGTTTCAGGTATATAAAGTCGTGTATGAAGTAAGTATATTTCGGGTATATCAGTTTGTGTCAACTTGATATAGGAGCCAAAAAGCCTGAACTGTTTTAGAGAGAAAATAACAGTTTTCAATAGGTACCTACCGTCGATATGAAGCCATTAATAACGCTGGGTCAGCATCAAAGTTCTAATGTAATTCAGTGCGAGTGAGTGTTATCTGTATCTAGGATAAGAACATTAAAGTGTGTAACTGTATGAGTGGCTTGCCTATCTAAGTTGCAAAGCGAAAGTAGGAATGCTCTGAAGCTACGTAGCACGGATATTCTACCTCTGCAGTACATTAACATTAACAATTGTACCACGTTTGACTATCTGATATTATATTGATACACACATTTCAGTTCTGAATATCGAAGAGTTACCTGTGCAAAGGGGGCGAGGCTGGAGACGAGACTCAACGCACCTACCTGGACAGGTAACGTTCTTCACAGTGATATGCAGGTCACCTCAGGGTGATAACGCGGAGGCGCTATCTCACTACAACTGTGTTAAAACTGAAGTATATTTATATTTATAACTATGTTGCCGCCATCAGTTACCTTTTTTCTGATGCCCGTAGATGCATTATGCATTTACACGTAGACAATAAAGTGACATGATTATGTTTATAAATCATTATTAAGTTTGTAAGCGTTGGTGTTCGTGGTTATTCCATTAATAACATAAACCATACATATTTAAAGGACTGATATGCCAATGTTTTAGGTTCGGTTAAAGATAACACTGACCATTGTTTGATAAACACCATTTCCTACCCCAGCCGACATTTCGACTGCAAACGATCATCTAGTTACGAACCTTTACCTACCACATAAGACCTCCAGATAGCACTCAAGATAAACTTGAATGTTGAGAATGATCTTATGTCCACCAATATAGAAGCAGGGACGTACAGAGCATCTAAACTAATGACAAGCGCCTAGGTCCAGAATGGTCTTATGTCCAACCACAAAGAAGGAATCATGAACAGACAAGTCATCTAACCTGTTGACGAATCCCAAGATCCAGGGTGTCCCTATGTTAATCCCCACAGAAGTAAATATGGACATATAGACAATCTAAAACAGTTCACATGTATCAGTATAGACCATAAATGAATATATTGGTACATGTGCACACGCAGGCTGTCAGTATATGACACCGATGTATATACTGGTATGGACACGTTGTGTCAGTATAGAACACTGATGTAGAACTACACGGAGTGTCAGCACTGTATATAAAATTGATGTATGTATTAGGACAAGTATACAGAGGGTGGAAGTATAAAATAGTGGTGTATTGGTACATGGGGATGTAGGTGTACATGGAGTGTCAATATAGAAAATTGATGCAATAATTAGGACGAGTACACCCAGGCAGGAAGTATGGAATAGGGATGTGTGTATTGGTACATACATAACATTGATGTACACATTGGTACATGTACACACAGGGTGTCAGTATAAAGAAGAAATTTATGTATCCCTACACGTACTACCATGGGTTGTAAGTATAGAACATTCATGAATGTATTGGAACATACAGAACATTAATGTATCTACACACAGGGTGCAGTGTAGAACATTGATGTATATTATGATGCATGTACACACAGGGTCCAGTGTAGAACATTGATGTATATATTGGCATATGCACACACAGAGTGACGCATTACGTCAAGCAACTTGTCTGTATAACGTGAACAATTGACGTCGCGTTGCGCCAACATGTATCTCGTATGAATTAATATCAACTCGCTGATTTCGAACAAGAAAGCTGTTTTCGGGGATTGGAACAATTGTTCATTGCGAACTGGCGATGATCAAACACCTAGAAGACAATAACGGTAATTTCTCACCACCGACGCCCGAATAAAACAAACAAGTAATTATGACTTTAAATATTATTATCTATTATGTGAATGAATCAGCGCGAAGCATGATGTACTCATTATAAGTTTAATATACATTCATGAAACGTAAAGGTTCTTCTCCACCAGTGGTGTAGTTATCACGTCATCACCAATATCTACGCGTTGCTGCACAGTCGTGACTGTAAATGTCAGAACCGTGAACAGAAACACGGCAGCATGTAACATGATTCTTGCAAATAATGCTTGCAATGTAATGTCTGGTTATTCCTCTGAACTATCGCTGCACCTCGATATGATACGCTTCATAAAAGTACTTACAACCCTGTTTTTTGCCGGGTAATTAAGCATCACCTGAAACAAAGAGTATCATTCTTTTAATCCTTCCATCAGCTATTGATGGACAGGTGAATCGCAAGTGGAATTATTACAGAGACGCAAAACTTATTTAACTTGACCCCTGTGAAAAACGATTGCATTAGTTTTGAATTCCTTAATTTAAACACATGCTGTAAGTTTTGATATTCTTTTGTGTCTCCAATGTTATATATCAGTTATGACCAATTCTCAAAGTAATTAAATTCATGTCATATACTGCTTGTAGGTTACTGGTACACTATACAATACCCGGACGTAGTTTATCTAACAGTGAAAATGTAACAGACAAACATATTTACGAGTCTAGTTACGAGATGTAGGCGAAGGACGTGAGGTGTTATCACCAATATAGTTCAATGATAACAGTTACCGTCACATGGACAAGAGATGATGCGACTGATGTACCAGTCGAATCGCAACATAGGGAGGCGTCTATCTGTCACCCCAGATAACACTACACTAGAAATATCCATAATTGGAGTAGGAACTTCAACTTACGACCAAAACACGACCGCGTTTATAACGTAGCTTATTGCTGCTTGAATGTTATATAATGTGTTTGATGCATTAAAAATGTACTGTTCCAAAAATGCATATTTTTAATTTGCTTAGCAGCATCCGAAGACAAAAATGGATGCGTGTTTTACGTTTTTTTGTTCTTTAAGTTCTTCGAACTTAAGAAAATAAATAGAATTAACTGAAATGTGACTTCGCGAGCTTAAATGTCATTTCCCTGCTGATGATACGAATACACTAAGGTATACTACAACTGTGATGATGTATTCTTATCTTGTTCAACTGTGTTCGTGAGGGTGATTGTGTATCCTTGTGATTACAGCGTTAATTTGTATATTAGACATAATGAAACCCGGTTTTGATTCATATGAAGTCAGTTCTATGGCTTTCCTTCGGCCAAAACGCGGCGGGGTAGCCTCGTTGTTAAAGCGTTCGCTCGTCACGTTGAAGGCGCGTGTTCGTATCCCCACATGGGTCACATGTGTGAAGCCCATTTCTGGTGTATCCAGCTATGATATTGCTTGAATATTGCTGAAAGGGGCGTAAAGCATACTAACTCTCTCACTGACTGACGATGTTACTTGAATATTTATAAACATCAAAATACACCCCACTTAATCTCAGTTAGGGTCGCAACATGGCACGGTGGTTATTTCCGAAGCGATTCTTACATACACTTTCATGAACATGAAACGACACATAACAAAGCTATGATGTTATTTATTCTAAATATTATGCAGAATTGTTAACATATCAAAGTTACATGTTGGCTTTAATAGCTAAAGAAGAAGTAGGAGTTAATTGATTCTTGCTTTTTAAGGGTTTCCTCTAACATCTTATAAACATTTACGGCCAATTATGGGAAATAATCATAATAAACGCCCGTCCTGCAAGATATGCATACTTTCTTATTCACCAGCCGGTCCTCATGATCTCTGTTGTGATTGCCCTGGACTTAGGCTCACCGCTACCCGCAAACTTCCCATTTGACAGAAGAAGCCTTTCGCAAATGCCATAAATGCAATATCGATAGACAGTTTACATCTAGGACGTGGAACTTGGGTTTTTATCGTCTAAAAATTCTACGGTGTGACAAAGCCAACCATTTCCTCTGTTGTGGCAGTCGTAATACAACCTCATGTGTCCACCCTGACTTCATTATAAGTTGACGATGATTGTTGACTGTCACCTGGACACCTGTTACTGAACCAATATTTGCTCAACTACAGACATATGTACAGTTTTGGCAAAAGACAGTTCCTTCACGACAAGCATAACAAGCGCGACAACTACTGCTACCAACCCTACCAGGATTCCCCAACCCTCAGCTGAGAGTTGTGTGTCATCTCTCGCTCCCCCATGAGATGATTTAGTGCTCCCCAGACTCCTCCTGCAGTATGGACCCCAGCATACCTCGTCCTTGTCTTCACCCTTCACAGAAAGGAAGAGTTTAGATAAATTACACCTCTCTGACCAGGATCGACATGTGAGGGTTCTACATTCGAGGGATCGATGTTAGAGGGATCAACATTCTAGAGATCTACATCGATACAGACTGATAAGACACAGAATGCCATACATCAAGATCAACATGGTCTACACTGTACTGACGAAGACTGTTGCGCTGACCAAGAACCACAACGACATGCCTATCAACATTCAGCAGGGGATCGACATTGACGTAAGGTTTATAGGGATCGCCATCACAGCTGGGATCAATACCCCTCACTCACTGAATCAATACCTTCTCATGCCTGACCGTTACCCGTTGGCCATTACGATCGATACCCATCATATCCGGATTACAAATCTATGTCTTATTACTATCGTTATACACCACCCCAAGAGTGCCATCAATTTCGACAATGATATGCAAATGGGCCCCCACCTGGCTGATTAATAGATCGACATTGATACCAATCTTCTAAGGATCGACATTGATACTTATTTTCTACGGATCAACATCAGGATTGACATGATTCCCTCCTCTCGTGGATCGACATCTGAGCGACAATGACAACCCCTTCCTGAGGGTCGACATCAAAATCGATATCAGGGGCATATTTTCTATCTCTAAAGAATGTCAGCAGTACTTTTAGCTCCTGAGATTGAAATATAATCTGCCTTCGCAATTGTCAAGCATTCAATGGTTCGGTATTTCAAGGCTTCGTTGAAGAATTCTGTACATGTACCATCGTCAACCATGAAACCTAAGCAATCAGACCCTTATTGTGTTTTTTTCAAAACCTCATCATTGACCATCACTTCACTATCAATGGAAGAGCATGTGTTATCCGTTTCATTCTTAACAGCTGAATGTTTCCCACCTGTTTGACGACCACGGCCACGGTGCATGATGCAGAATAGCCTTGTACAGTTGTCCTACATCCTAACGTACTGTATCAGCAAGACGGGTTACTCTATTGCATTTACATATATATATGAATCAAGGATCAAATTTAACTATGTTGGTTTGGAAACATGACAGTCTAGATTGGCATAGCCCTCCCTTATCTACTTCACGGAATCACGGCTCCTCTAGCCTGTGGTAGGGGTAGTCAGGTGATCAAGTCGTGTGAGGTGACTTTAGGTGACACAATGGGAATTACAGTGATGTGTTTTGGCAAAATGGTTTTAAATGCTTAAAACTTCAAGCACAATCCCAATTAAGTATAGAAAGGAGAAGGAATAAATGCATAGTGTGAGATGGGATAAGGATATATTCTGATATACATATACAATTTGATGTAAAATTTACAATGCTATTAATATTGTAATATCCTTTATATGCATCAGTATGTGAGAAATCATATTGTGTCAGGGTGACCGTCTCCCTACAGTCTGATATACAATATGTAGAGACATTCTTGTCATACGAGTATAGCTATATTCTTTCACACCATGAGGTGAGAAATCATATTGTGTCGGAGTGACAATCTCCCTGCAGTCTGATATACAATCAGTTGAGACATTCTTGTCATAAAAATATAGTTATATTCTTATGCACCACAAGGAGAGAAATCATACTGTGTCAGAGTGACAATCTCCCTGCAGTCTGATATACAATAAGTTGAGATATTCTTGTCATATGAGTATTGTTATATTCTTTCACACCATGAGGTGAGAAATCATATTGTGTTGGAGTGATAACCTTGTCATATGAGTATTGTTATATTCTTATGCACCGCAAGGTGATAAATCATACTGTGTCAGGGTGACAATCTCCCTGCAGTCTGATATACAATATGTTGAGACATTCTTGTCATACGAGTATAGCTATATTCTTTCACACCATGAGGTGAGAAATCATATTGTGTCGGAGTGACAATCTCCCTGCAGTCTGATATACAATCAGTTGAGACATTCTTGTCATAAAAATATAGTTATATTCTTATGCACCACTAGGTGAGAAATCATACTGTGTCAGGGTGACAATCTCCCTGCAGTCTGATATACAATAAGTTAAGATATTCTGGTCATATGAGAATTGCTATATTCTTTCACACCATGAGGTGAGAAATCATATTGTGTTGGAGTGATAACCTTGTCATATGAGTATTGTTATATTCTTATGCACCACAAGGTGAGAAATCATACTGTGTCAGAGTGGCAATCTCCCTGCAGTCTGATATACAATAAGTTGAGATATTCTTGTCATATGAGTATTGCTATATTCTTTCACACCATGAGGTGAAAAATCATATTGTGTTGGAGTGATAACCTTGTCATATGAGTATTGTTATATTCTTATGCACCACAAGGTGATAAATCATACTGTGTCAGGGTGACAATCTCCCTGCAGTCTGATATACCATATGTTGAGACATTCTTGTCATACGAGTATAGATATATTCTTTCACACCATGAGGTGAGAAATCATATTGTGTCGGAGTGACGATCTCCCTGCAGTCTGATATACAATAAGTTGGGGTATTCTTGTCATATGAGTATTGCTATATTCTTATGTACCACAAGGTGAGAAATCATACTGTGTCAGGGTGACAATCTCCCTGCAGTCTGATGTACAAAAAGTTGAGATATTCCTGTCATATGAGTATAGTTATATTCTTATGCGACACAAAGTGAGAAATCATATTGTGTCAGAGTGACAATCTCCCTGCAGTCTGATATACAATAAGTTGAGATATTCTTGTCATATGAGTATTGCTATATTCTTTCACACCATAAGGTGACAAATCATATTGTGTTGGAGTGTTAATCTTGTCATATGATTATTGTTATATTCTTATGTACCACAAGGTGAGAAATCATACTGTGTCAGGGTGACAATCTCCCTACAGTCTGATGTACAAAAAGTTGAGATATTCCTGTCATATGAGTATTGTTATATTCTTATGCGACACAAGGTGAGAAATCATATTGTGTCAGGGTGACAATCTCCCTGCAGTCTGATATACAATAAGTTGAGATATTCTTGTCATACGGGTATAGTTATATTCTTTCACACCATGAGGTGAGAAATCATCTTGTGTCTGAGTGACAATCTCCCTGCAGTCTGATATACAAGATGTTGAGACATTCTTGTCACACGAGTATAGTTATATTCTCTCACACCATGAGGTGAGAAATCATATTGTGTCGGAGTGAAAATCTCCCTGCAGTCTGGCATACAAACAGTTGAGATATTCTTGTCATATGAGTATACATGTAGTTATATTCTTATGCACCACAAGGTGAGAAATCATACTGTGTCAGGGTGACAATCTCCCTGCAGTCTGATATACAATAAGTTGAGATATTCTGGTCATATGATCATAGTTTTATTCTTATGCACCACAAGGTGAGCAATGATGCAGTGTTGGAGTGACAATCTCCCTGCAGTCTGATATACAATCAGTTGAGATATTCTTGTCATATGAGTATAGTTATATTCTTATGCACCACAAGGTGAGAAATCCTATTGTGTCAGGGTGACAATCTCCCTGCAGTCTGATATACAATATGTTGAGACATTCTTGTCATACGAGTATAGTCATTTTCTTTTACACCATGAGGTGAGAAATCATATTGTGTCGGAGTCACAATGTCCATGCAGTCTAACATACAATCAGTTGAGATATTCCTATCGTATGAGTATTGTTATATTCTTATGTACCACAAGGTGAGCAATGATACAGTGTTGGAGTGACAATCTCCCTGCAGTCTGATATACAATCAGTTGAGATATTCTTGTCATATGAGTATAGTTATATTCTTATGCACCACAAGGTGAGAAATCCTATTGTGTCAGGGTGACAATCTCCCTGCAGTCTGATATACAATATGTTGAGACATTCTTGTCATACGAGTATAGTCATTTTCTTTTACACCATGAGGTGAGAAATCATATTGTGTCGGAGTCACAATGTCCATGCAGTCTAACATACAATCAGTTGAGATATTCCTATCGTATGAGTATTGTTATATTCTTATGTACCACAAGGTGAGAAATGATACTGTGTGAGATATAGATGATGTGTAATGGTGGTTGGTAAAAGCATTGTTTATCTCATTGAGTTGACAATCTCCATGCAGTCTGATATACAATCAGTTGAGATATTCTTGTCATATGGGTATAGTTATATTCTTATGCACCACAAGGTGAGATGTAGAGGATGTGTAATTGTGGTAGTGGTAGTGGTAAATGCACTGTTTATCTCAATGAGTTGAATCATTGACGGTATTGATATTAAGGAATATTGAAGTTAAGGTCATCCTGAAAGAGCATGTATTCACAATATTTGGAGTATTTAAAAGTTGGCATTTGAGGAAAGTTAGGACTCATGACCTCTTTGTTGAGGCCTGGATTGCATCATTGTTGATGTGACCTCCATATAAAGCCAATGGCACCATAGCTCAAAATAGAAACATGTTGAAAACCTTAAATATGTGTCTTTATTCTTGATAATACAAAGCATTTTGTAATCTGTGAAGAAGAATCTTTAAATAACTAAATCACCAGCTGTTTGAAAAAGTCATGGCTGAGTGAAATGTCAATGACACTTTTTAAGGTCACTCAAAGAAATAATTTGATGTAGTTTTTCTTTTGTGGCCACAGTCAGCAATATTACAGCTTTGTCACATTTGCCTGTAAATAATCGAGTTGGACCAGGCAAACAGTCAACGTTGTTACATGGTTTTGACCTTATATTCTCAGGAAACAATTCTATCCAGGAAGTATTGGTAGTATGGTTTGGAGAGTTGATATTTTAGAAAATTTGTCTTTTGGAATGTCACCAGAAAGCAAATGAGATATTACGAATATGAGATACTAAGTTGATGTGAAAGCATATTTATGTGGTACTTCACATGTGAAATCATTTTGAAGTAGAGACTAACATTATGATGATTTTGAATGGTTGATGGTGGTGTGGATCTTGAGAAACCCAACTGACAGTATTGTTTATTTCCCAGTGTCAGGACAGCCCTGAACAGAGAGAAGTGATACGGGCATGGCTGAAGGAGAGAGATGATCTCAGGTGAGGCTGTCTGAAACCATCTGGGGCCAGGCTTGGAATAGATTGTAATGTAATGTCGGGAATGAAGAATGCAGCAAAGTTTCACTTCATCATTCCATTGGGCTACCTTCTACCCATTGCAAATTAAATAAAATACTTGTTCCATATATTTAGCAAGACTGTTTGACTTCCTTTCCTCTTTCTTGATGGTTTGCAGTAAACATGAAGATGTCTTTCAAACAGTGTTCTGATAATCACCTCTTTGTGAATGTTAATTTCTATGCTTAGAGTTTGGTTTATCATAGTCAGTATATAGCAACATGTGATCTGTTCAATGAGTTCAATGTTACGAATATTTCACATTTCCATAATATCAGTTGAATTTAATAATCATTATTTTACTTCTGTGGCAGAAACTACACAAAAGGCGTGTTCAATCCACGGTTTGGCAGTCTGTTTCGGACATACCACAATCCAACTTACTTCACTCGACGCCTGGCCCGGTTTGCTGACATGTACATGTCGAGTCTGACAAACCTGCTCCACTACTCAGTAGACCACTCCTTCTACCCACACCGAGTGTTGCTGCCACACGAACCAGGCCCCTTCTCCAAGTACTGAGTGGAAACAGTACACTGAAATAAACATGTACTATCATGGATTGGACACATTGGTAATTCAGTATTGAAGTCTTCTTGGAAATAATGGCCAAGTTAAAGAGCACATTGACCTTATTAGTGATGTGGAAGCATTGATGGTCTACTGCATGAGTATATAGGCCTACTTATGTCATTGAAACATTTCACTAGATGCACCCGGGGACAATACTGGCATCAAAGCATTTATACTTAACTAGTGATCGGACCTAATATTGACATTGAAGTATTCAATGGACTATTACCTGGACCTGGTACTGACATTGAAGTATTGATGGTCTATTGCACTGGTACCTCGACCTAATACTGACATTGAAGCATTGATGGTCTACTCCGTTAGTACCTGGCCCTGATAGTGACTTTGAAGCATTGATGGCCTACTCCGTTAGTACCTGGCCCTTATACCGACATTGAAGTATTAATGGTCTACTGCGTTAGTACCTGGCCCTAATACTGACATTGAAGCATTGATGGTCTACTCTGTTAGTACCTGGCCCTTATACTGACATTGACGCACTGATGGTGTACTCCGTTAGTACCTGGCCCTAATACTGACATTGAATCATTGATGGTCTACTCCGTTAGTACCTGGCCCTTATACTGACATTGACGCACTGATGGTGTACTCAGTTAGTACCTGGCCCTAATACTGACATTGAATCATTGATGGTCTACTCCGTTAGTACCTGGCCCTTATACTAACATTGAATCATTGATGGTGTACTGCGTTAGTATCACAATATTTCAACGAGTCCTCTGAAAGGCTGCCCTTTTTTCTCCTCAAAAGATGCAATACTTTGCCAAGATATGTACTTCTCTGACAATATATGTAATATATTTTACCTATCCTAATTAGTGGAGGATCATAAGTGTTGATCAATTAATGCTCAGTTGTATGAATCTCATTATTACATCACAAATGGGATATGTTGCACCCTGTTCATTATGGTAGCTTGAAGTAGAACATTTAAGTAAAAAAGGACTCGTGGTTGTTGTTTATCGTACAATAAAGCACTGCCCCTCATGGTTTATTCTCCCTGCAGTGTTTTATTGAATGATAAACAATGACCACGACTCATTTATTTCTTATATGGGATATCAACATTATGTACGGTCTGTTTAAGAATGATGATAAAAGCTTTAAACATATTTACCCGTATTTAAATAATGATGACGCCCTCAATAGAATGTCCATTTTAATAGTCATGATCATCGTCGTTTTTCAAGATGTTAGTTATTAAATCAATCTGATGTTTTAGATAATACATGTGATACTAAAACAGATACGTTTAGAACACTGTGTGTGGTAGCACGTGTTGATAATACACTGGATGTGCTCATCAGCAAAGGATGCAGAGTGCATCACAGTATTATGGTTCACAGTCTGTCCTCGGCATCAGTTAATTCAAGGTATAAGTTGGGTGTAACATTAGTTGTTTCCTTATAACAGAAGATATCCCCATTGTGTTTTTCTGTTAAAATGATGATGGGTCCATGTGTAGGTATTAAGACTGTTATATAGATCCCTAACTTACTCAACATTCATGTATATATGCATTAGCCCTTCATGTAAACCACTGCCATTTGACACATGGAGCACCTTAATCGCACCAATAACATTTTGAATCTTGTATATTGATTTTTTTTCAGAAATGAATTTTATTTGATGAGATCAGCAGAAATCAAATGCAATAAAAGTAGTCAACACAACTTTATCTTTGTTAGATTACTTGGTTTATGGATGACGAAACAATTCAACTGTTCTCAAAAACATTAATTGAAAATCGAAAGTTTTACCACTTTACACTATTGACCTACTTTGATGCTTCCTTTGCTCATCCCTGCCCCTGTTAAAATTGGGTAATAAGGAGTAAATTAGCTGTACCTCGAGCTTATCCTAACAAACAGCTACAATGGTGATAAGTCTCTGTGACTTTGTGCCCGACTGGTTTGGATCCTTGCTCATACTTCAGTCACTGGTTTGCATGGTCGAAACTGGAAATAATAACCCATAACTGGACGTCTGTTTACCTCATGCTGTGGAGATAAAGATTTACTTACTCACAATCAGTTCTGGAAGTAGTTGGCAAATAAATCAGTAAGGAAAACGACCTGAGAAGATCGTGTTTGGAAATATTTTTCAGCAACTTGTGCTTCTCGTCAGAGGTGTCAGTGATTGTCCTCGAGGTGACATGCAGATGTCATGCTCACTGACTTGGTTTATGCATGTCATCATATCCGAATTGCGTAGATCAATGCTCATGACGTCAATACCTCGATTGTCTGGTCCATACTTGATTATTTACAGCTGGGATATTGCTGAGTGTGGCGTGAAACAAACAAACAGTAATAAAAACTGCTGTTATTTAAGATTATTATTTCTTTGTGAAAACCAAGCAATTAAAAATACCATTTTGCTCTAACAAACTATGATTTGTATTAAGTCTGTGATATATTTTAGAAAAGTGTGATTTATGTGTGATTGTTTGAAGACTGTCGAGCTGATTTTTATAAATTGGTTTCGATAAGTTAAATTGTAGGTTAGGCTTCTTTTTAAGCAACATTTTTGTTGCCATTTGTAATTATTTCAGCAAAAATTGTTTACGCATATGCTGGTACTTCATGCATTGCAGTTTGTTTTATTGTAGGATGATTGTTGTGGTTACTCTAGATCTATTGTTAATTATATGTATTTAGGTATGAAATATAAAAAAAATGATGGTAAATGACTGCACTGATTCAGATTTATGTGTACGTTTGTTTCATTGTTCTGCTTTATGAATGTCTTTCATGGACATACTTATAATGACAACCCAGTGTGTTCCAATGTCCACCCATTCAGAAGGAAACAAGACATATAGATCATCTAAACTAATGACAAACACAAAGGCCCAGAGTGCTCCTATGTCAATCCATATAGAAGGAAACAAGACATATAGATCATCTGAACTAATGACAAACACAAAGGTCCAGAGTGATCCTATGGCAATCCATATAGAAGGATTCAAGAAATATAGATCATCTAAACTAATGACAAACTACAAGGTCAAGAGTGCTCCTATGACAATCCATATAGAAGGAAACAAGATATATAGATCATCTAAACTAATGACAAAATACTAAGGCCCAGAGTGCTCCTATGTCAATCCATATAGAAGGAAACAAGACATATAGATCATCTAAACTAATGCCAAACACAAAGGCCGAGAGTGCTCCTATGTCAATCCATATAGAAGGAAACAAGACATATAGATCATCTGAACTAATGACAAACACAAAGGTCCAGAGTGCTCCTATGTCAATCCATATAGAAGGAAACAAGACATATAGATCATCTGAACTGATGACAAACACAAAGATCCAGAGTGATCCTATGTCAATCCATATAGAAGGAAACAAGACATATAGATCATCTGAACTAATGACAAACACAAAGGTCCAGAGTGATCCTATGGCAATCCATATAGAAGGATTCAAGAAATATAGATCATCTAAACTAATGACAAACTACAAGGTCAAGAGTGCTCCTATGACAATCCATATAGAAGGAAACAAGATATATAGATCATCTAAACTAATGACAAAACACTAAGGCCCAGAGTGCTCCTATGGCAATCCATATAGAAGGAAACAATACATATAGATCATCTAAACTAATAACAAACACAAAGGCCGAGAGTGTTCCTATGTCAATCCATATAGAAGGAAACAAGACTTATAGATCATCTAAACTAATGACAAACTACAAGGTCAAGAGTGCTCCTATGACAATCCATATAGAAGGAAACAAGACATATAGATCATCTGAACTAATGACAAACACAAAGGTCCAGAGTGCTCCTATGGCAATCCATATAGAAGGAAACAAGAAATATAGATCATCTAAACTAATGACAAACACAAAGGTCCAGAGGGCCCCTATGGCAATCCATATAGAAGGAAACAAGACATATAGATCATCTAAACTAATGACAAACACAAAGGCCGAGAGTGTTCCTATGTCAATCCATATAGAAGGAAACAAGACATATAGATCATCTAAACTAATGACAAACTACTTGGTCAAGAGTGTTCCTATGTCAATCAATATAGAAGGAAACAAGACATATAGATCATCTAAACTAATGACAAACACAAAGGCCCAGAATGCTCCTATGCCAATCCATATAGAAGGAAACAAGACATATAGATCATCTGAACTGATGACAAACACAAAGGTCCAGAGTGATCCTATGGCAATCCATATAGAAGGATTCAAGAAATATAGATCATCTAAACTAATGACAAACTACAAGGTCCAGAGTGCTCCTATGACAATCCATATAGAAGGAAACAAGACATAAAGATTATCTAAACTAATGACAAACACAAAGGCCCAGAGTGCTCCTATGTCAATCCATATAGAAGGAAACAAGACATATAGATCATCTAAACTAATGACAAACTACAAGGTCAAGAGTGCTCCTATGTCAATCCATATAGAAGGAAACAAGGCATATATATCATCTAAACTAATGACAAACACTAAGGCCCAGAGTGCTCCTATGTCAATCCATATAGAAGGAAACAAGACATATAGATCATCTGAACTAATGACAAACACAAAGGTCCAGAGTGCTCCTATGTCAATCCATATAGAAGGAAACAAGACATATAGATCATCTAAACTAATGACAAACACAAAGGCCGAGAGTGTTCCTATGTCAATCCATATAGAAGGAAACAAGACATATAGATCATCTAAACTAATGACAAACTACAAGGTCAAGAGTCCTCCTATGACAATCCATATAGAAGGAAACAAGATATATAGATTATCTAATCTAATGACAAACACAAAGGCCCAGAATGCTCCTATGTCAATCCATATCGAAGGAAACAAGACATATAGATCATCTGAACTAATAACAAACACAAAGGCCCAGAGTGCTCCTATGGCAATCCATATAGAAGGAAACAAGACATATAGATCATCTAAAC